CCCCCCCCCCCGGTTCCCAGTGGGGGACTAAAAATAAAACAACTAGTTGAATCATGAATCTCTTCCTTCATGCATGTGGTGTATTTTTACTGTGTCAAGTTACGAAAAATCAACCAAGGGTTAATGAGAAGTTTAGGAGACAGACAGGCTGATTCCTATATACCCCCATAAACTGTTTGCAGGGGGTATAAAATAAATAAAAACCAAAAACAGAAATTCCTGGGGCCTTACTCAGGACTTTTCCTCTTCACTCATACACTTAACCAATGTCTGAATAACTTGCAAAGAAAATTAGCCCAAAGCCACAAAATCTCTTTTAGGTTGCCTTGTCTTTTCCTATATACAAGGGAGAATACTCCAAGTTAAAAAAACACCTGGCAACTAATATTCTTGTAGTTAAGATATTTGACGGACGCAGACATAATTTGCCACCCTGTCCATATCTTAAATATACTATTGAGATTGATCCTTATTTGACATTTCATATTCTGATACATACGCTAGATTGGCAAGGCCTAATATGGGAAATGTTGGGACCCGGGAGGGGGCGTGATACATTTTAAAAGGTTACATATAACTACAGATTAAGAGATTTCAATTATATTTGGCATAAAGCAAAATCTCTAAGCAAAAAGGTTCATTCATTATTTTATAAATACTGAGTGAGCCCCAATAGGGGAACGGGAAGGGCCTATGCCCAATAGGGGAACGGGAAGGGCCCAATAGGGGAACGGGAAGGGGAACGGGAAGGGCCCAATAGGGGAAGGGGAAGGGCCCAATAGGGGAAAACCTTTATAATACTTCTCATAGAGTATGGCAGGAGGAATGTTAACATTACATGGAGTAAAGCATATCTCTCAAACAAAGTAGAGGCAATTCAATTTTGTATAATAAAATGTGTGGGCTCAATCAGGTCGTAGAGGAGTTGGGGCTCAATAGTAAAAGTTAGGGGTTATCATTTAACTTCTCAGTATGAGTAAAGGGATCTTAACCTTATGTAGGATATTAAAGCAATTCTCAACCAAGGGAAATAATTGTTTTATAAGAACACATGTTTTCCTCATGGGGGCAGATTGTATAGGGTTCAATAAGGGAAATGGTGGTTACTATTTAAACACTATTCCTTATATACAGTTGAAAGAGTTTTAGTCTAATTTTGTATGAACCATATCGCTTTAAGTTCAGTTCTGTCCAGTGTGAGAGTTTTAGTCCTTTGTGGTAAATAGTACACAAATTGGGCTCCAGCAAATAGGTAAGACTGTTCTGTTTAGTTGATAGCTATAATGTTTTTGATTGAATAGGCTTACAAGCACATTATAGAAGTTCAGTTTTCATCTTTACACTTTGCATTGTAAAAATAGATCCCTGATTATACTTATAATATTGCTGAAATGTGATATTTTTCACCTGTAGGTTATATAAGTAGTGTATTGTTATGAATTAGATGGATTATTTTCTACCTGTACAGGTATTTAACATAACCGATGCAGTTAACTTATCTTTCATTAATAATGTATCTATTAACATTTTCCTTTATTGTTCATCTATAATGCACGGATATCACTTGTGTTTCAGTTTTAACACTTTAAAAAAATTGCTGCATTAATTTCCCACTTTCACTGGTTTGGCAGACCTCATGCACTATGTCATCAGAAGGAAATGTAATCAATTAAACAAATAACATATGTGTATATGCTAAGTGCTTTAATTTTCCCTGATCAACTAACTATCAATGTTGATACCTGATGGATATTTGAGAAACATTGACCTTTAAAAAAAATCAAGATAATTTTAATGCTGTGGTGTTTACAAGGCCATACATGTCAATCAAACTCAGGTTGATAATACTAGGGCAAAATATAAATAAAGGAAAGAATTATGATTAACATTGAGAGTAAGCTAGGTCAATATATTGTGTATTTCAGAATTTTGCTTTTTTTTAATAGAAGAGTTATTGTCCTTTGTTTATATCAAAAAAATGTTTGGAGCATATATACCGTCTTTGCTCTTTTAGCTGCATTCACCAAACTTGCTATACTTATGTCTTCGGTTGATGGAGTGTCACATATACTATACTCAGGTCTCCTGTGCCACTTTATACAGTCCCACAGGGGTGGGGTTAGAGCACCACTTTTTTTTGCTAATTCACATACATTTACCACACTTATAGCACATTTGTACCTTTGGAAAGCAGTGTTGCACACTTGTGTTTTGTGGACCCTTTCTTTCAGTTATGAAACTTCATTCATTTTAAACACGTTTTTCTTTGTGATGTTTTAAAATATAAGTAAAGGACGATAAACTCGATTCAAATTGTTTTTGAAATTGTAAAACAAAATTAGAACACCTTGTCTTTTCCCTTTGGCTAATAAAGTAAAACATGCATCACGGTTTCCCAATTTTAACACAATTTATAATTAAACACATGCAACGTTTGTAGTTACATATGTCTAAATTGTGTTGAAATTGAGAAAGCATAATTCATGAGCAATTATAAGAACCCTACATCAGTATCTATTTCATTTGATTGTTTTCATTCACTGTGGCCTATTGAGTGTTAACAACTGCATGTGATACTCATCTATGTTAACTTAAACAACTTAAAGTTTACTCTCTCTATAAAGGAATTGAAATATGTTTGATATCCGTTTTTTTGGAAATAAAGTTGCCGTGTATAGATGACCTCTGTGTGGCCAAGCTGATACTAAGATTTAGTGTGTAACAGTAGCTGATATGAGCTGAAGATAAGCTACCTTGCCACTTGTACAGATAGTTATGGCACTTTGTTTTGTTCCTTGACCTAAATTGCCATACCTAATGTGATATGTGTCAGACCCCTAGTGTTGTCTATGATGTGCAGGCTACTGTATGAGTCCATGTTTGTAAGTATTTTTAACAACACTCAGGGGGGATACAAAAAGTAAAGGAAAATAAAGATCATGGAGAAAATGTATCGTCTTCTTAACAGAAATATAGTGAAATGTAACAGATGCATGCATGTTAAATAATCTTTTCAGTGCGGAGGGGGGGNTTATACAAAAAAATAGCACATTTACCAAAACCATTTAGAAAACATTTCTAATTTGATTCTAATGTAAAAAGTATTTCATTGAATATTTTTTTCCTCCAATGATTATATTGATATGCACAATATAAATTAAAAATATGACGTAAATAATTGAAAATGTTTTATTCAATATGTGCGATCTACAGTAAAAATTTGAATATTTTCTCATATGTATTCCCCAGAAAGATTATATATTATCCATGTTTGTTTTGCACATGCAATTGAGAAATGTGTGATATGTTTTTGAACATGTGCACATATACAAGACAGATTTTGTCACCAGATATGTGACAGTTTTATCCTCAAATGTCTCCATGTCTGTATAGGTGTACTTCAATGGAATCCACTTATACCAAGGTGGTTTTCTCAACACTTACAAAAATTATATTTCATGCTTAAAATGTTGATATCAATAACTTCTACACAAACAGTTAAGTGGTAACACTTCCAGAAACAAAAACCTACCAGACCTTCTCTCATCCAAGTGTCCTTGCTTTCCATCTTTCTGATATTTTCTGTACGTATACAACTATAAGATTTGATTTACTATAAATGATTTCAGCCGTTGATGGAACACATCTGTGACACATTCAGGAGCACCTAACCAGAACAGCTTTGTGACGAGGCGATGGAGAGTGTTTACGATGTAGTAATTATAGGAGGTGGGGTGGTAGGCTGTTCCCAGTTGTTCACACTAACGAGGCTCGGCTACAGGTGTCTACTTCTGGAGAAGGAAGCCCACCTAGTGTCCATGGCAAGCTCCGGAAACAGGTATAAAATTCTATTATGATGGTACCGCCGCATTAGTGAATCTATTCAGAACCTGATCATTTATAATCGAAAAATGTATAGTAATTGATGCAGTCTTCAAAATAAGTTTCTGAGAATGTTGTTTTTGTAATTCATGGTGTTTTTTTTTTTGTTTTTTTTTTATTTGAGGTTATTTTCAGTTTCAAGTCCATACCCTATTCCCATAGGATCAATTTGTTTTCAAAAGCATCTGGGTATCCAAATTATGCAGATCAAACAAGAGTCCCTGATTTGCTCACCTGGATATTTGAGCAATCATGGGAAGACATTCTTAACAAAAGTACATTTAAAAATATTACCATATATTGAGTATCCTTCACTTAAGAATGGTCAAGACTAAATAAAACTTTATACTTCTCTATCTCAGCATGATACTGGTCAACTAGCATCACACAGGGCCCCCTGGTATTGTGGAAGAAGCTGCTTAAAGATATTTACATATTTGACCCCTGTGACCGTGAAAGTAGGTCAAGGTAATTTATTTGGGGAAACTTTATAGCACTCCAAGTCTGTCCCAGGTACCTACTGGCCAGGAATCAGTACTCTGCGCCTCCTGGTTATTCTGAAGAAATTGTTGAAAGGTTTTTACATATTTGACCCCTGTGATCTTGAAAGTAGGTCAAAGTATATCACTCTGTCAAAGGTACCTACTGGTCAAGTATTATTATTCTGGGCCTCCTGGTCTTGACAGTTTCCACGTTAAGTTCCTAGGGATGGAGTAGACCTCAGGCATATTTTGTAGCATTTGTGTATTCATCTCTTCATGTCTTGCAATTGAATATAAGAATATAGGGTGGATATCTTCATTGTTTCCATGTTATAACCCAGGCATCAAGTGCCAAGGGGAGTGGGGGACCAAGCCTTGCATCACGATGTTTCTTTGTACCTAGCAAGATGAGAATCTCAACTATGCTCATGTATGACCTCTCCCCCCATCTATTCCAGAGATGTCATTTATAGCAATAATACCAAATTATCACTTTTTTGCCCTTTCCTACCTTATTTGGGGTCAGCCCCTCCATTTGTACAATTTTGAACCCCTGCCACCTAAGGATGTTTCCAGTCAAATTTGTAAAGGTGACAGATCGACCAAGAAGGGATGAATCATGATATTTAATAAACTGAACATACTTCATTGGTGACCTTTCTGCTGTTTCTGTTATAGTGGGATGTTAAATACAGGTTTTGATGCTATTTCTCTGTTATAGTGGGATGTTACATACAGGCTTTGATGCTGTTTCTGTTATAGTGGGATGTTACATACAGGTTTTGATGCTGTTTCTCTGTTTTAGTGGTATGTTACATACAGGTTTTGATGCTGTTTCTCTGTTTTAGTGGTATGTTACATACAGGTTTTGATGCTGTTTCTCTGTTGTTATAGTGGGATGTTACATCCAGGCATTGATTCTATTTCTACGTTATAGTGGGATGTTACATACAGGCTTTGATGTTATTTCTCTGTTATAGTGGGATGTTACATCCAGGCATTGATGCTATTTCTACGTTATAGTGGGATGTTACATACAGGTTTTGATGCTGTTTCTGTTATAGTGGGATGTTACATACAGGTTTTGATGCTGTTTCTCCGTTATAGTGGGATGTCACATACAGGTTTTGATGCTGTTTCTGTTATAGTGGGATGTTACATACAGGTTTTGATGCTATTTCTCTGTTATAGTGGGATTTTACATATAGGCTTTGATGCTGTTTCTGTTATAGTGAGATGTTACATACAGGTTTTGTACTGTTTTTCTGTTATAGTGGGATGTTACATACAGGTTTTGATGCTGTTTCTGTTATAGTTGGATGTTACATACAGGTTTTGTTGCTGTTTCTCTGTTATAGTGGGATGTTACATACAGGCTTTGATGTTATTTCTCTGTTATAGTGGGATGTTACAAACAGGTTTGGATGCTGTTTCTCTGTTATAGTGGGATGTTACATACAGGTTTTGATACTGTTTCTGTTATAGTGGGATGTTACACACAGGTTTTGATGCTGTTTCTGTTATAGAGGGATGTTACATACAGGGTTTGATACTGTTTCTGTTATAGTGGGATGTTACATGCAGGTTTTGATGCTGTTTCTGTTATAGTGGGATGTTACATACAGGTTTTGATGCTATTTCTCTGTTATAGTGGGATGTTACATATAGGCTTTGATGCTGTTTCTGTTATAGTGGGATGTTACATACAGGTTTTGTTCTGTTTTTCTGTTATAGTGGGATGTAACATACAGGTTTTGAAGCTATTTCTCTGTTATAGTGGTATGTTACATACAGGTTTTGATGCTGTTTCTCTGTTATAGTGGGATGTTACATACAGGTTTTGATACTGTTTCTGTTATAGTGGGATGTTACATACAGGCTTTGATGCTCCATTGGGAAGTATAGAGCATGCCAGTATACTAAGATGTCAACAGCAGATCCTACCTGTCCTCAACTCCCTTGGGCTTCCATACTCTAAGATTGGTGCAACTATGGTAGCCTGGAACAATCAACAGGTAAAATTCCATCATTTCCTTACATCTTAAACAAAAATTGATATTCAAAGACAGAGAAAAATGTGATGTTTGTTAAAAAAAAATGTGTCATCTGGATTATTTTTAATCTTTCATTTTATGTTTGTCTCATGAAAAATCCTTGATCCACACCTGGCCAAAATGTCTTATTCTGTCCCATTGGATTTAACAGTGGTTGTGGTTTCACTTATACAATATGTGGTTGATTAATGATGTCTTAAATTTCAATTATTTAAGTGTACAAGTTCCATGTTTGACTTACTGTGTGGATTTTAAATGTACCAGATTTTAATCTTACAGAAAGAGAAACTCCCTGAAGTGCTTCAGAAAGCAAAGGATGCTACGATAGAAGACATTGTGGAGTTATCTATGTCACAGCTCTACCAGATGGAGCCACATTTAGCCCTCGGAGCAACAGGTGCTCTCTGGATACCAACAGAGGCAGTTATTGATCCATGGCTTACACCTATTGCTTTTGCGCATCATGCAAAATCATTAGGTGCTAAGGTACAAGTTGTTCTTTAGAATGGTGATTTGGAGAATTTACTGTTGCATTTTGAAAAGACCTCCTGAAAATAACGATAACTTTTAAATCTTTTCAAATTGTAAAGAAGCAAGGATTTTTTTAAATAGTGGACATAGATTTTAACATACAGAACTTTTATTTGCAACCCCCAACCTCAAAACTGACAAGCCCAAAGTAAAACTAAGATACATTGTGAATCTGCCGTTAGTTTCCTAAATACTGTTTATAGGGTAGTAATATTACTGTGTGCTCACTAACCATTGTATTTTGTAAAAAAAAAAATCAAATCTGAAGACTCTTGTGTATTAGTTATTTATTCTATTTCTGGCTCATCGGACATCCCTGTACGCCATTGTAGGTGTTGACAAGTACAATGGCCCAGAGCTGCGAACTGGATGGCCAGGGGATCTGGAAAATCTCTACAACCAGAGGTGTGTTCCAGGGTCGCGTGGTCATCAACAGTGCTGGTCTGTATGGAGATGTGGTCGACAAACTGGCAGGAGTCCAGAAGTTCAGGTCAGTCTATCTGACAGGTCAGCTTCGAAGATAACCTGGGCTAGCATAGTTTCTAATTAAGTCACTTATAATTGGCATGGCAATGTATATGTCTTTGTATATGATGGCCTTTCATACCTTATTCTAGCTGTTGTGTTGTAGGATCAAGCCGAGAATGGGACAGTACCTTATCTACGGCTCAGAAACCCAGTCGCTCATCAACAGCAGCATTCTCCCCATCCCCACCGAGAAGACCAAGGGAGTCATTGTATTCAAGTCAGGTCTGTGTAGAACATTATTCCGATCCCCACCAACTAAACCAAGTGTTATATACGGGAATTCAGGTTCATGTGAATACAAACATTATTCCAATCCCCACCAACTAAACTAAGAGTCATATTGAATTCTGGTTCATATAGAACTTAAATATTATTCTAATCCCGATCAACAGTGAACTAAACCAAGGGAGACTGGTACGTGTAGAAATATTAATCCAGTCCTCACTAAGTAAACTAAAAGGATTAATATTCATGTGTATTCCAGGTCCATGTAGATACAATATTCTGAACCCCACCAACTCAACCACGAGTGTCATCCTTCAGTGCTTAATCTTAAAAACAGCTTTCAGTTTTAAGTCAATGATAAGTTTCTTAATATATTTCATAAATATTTTAGTTTCATTTGTCGTTTAATGAAATACAGCCCATAATTTTATCCTTCCAGAAACCAATCCTGACATGTAAAACTGTGTTGACTGTGGAGGTATCAATACCTTCTCATGGATCCTCCTTCAGTCACCGTCACATGGTGGAATCCCCCACATTACTGCTGCAGAGGGGCTGTTCTCAAGGTCATTTATATTGTTTACATTCTGTGTACTTTCAGTGTATGACAATGTGATAATCGGCCCGACACAAGAGGAGACTGAGCAGCGTACCATACCAGTTAGGCTCTCACAGGGGGTGGTGAACAGTTTACTGAATCACGGAAAAGTCACGGTCCCTTCTCTCCAGTCACACCCTGTAGTGCACACGTACTCTGGTACACGCCCTGCTACAGAAACCAAGGACTACCATGTGGTCCCCCACACTGACAGGTAAATATACTCCCCTCCCCTCTATTTACACACTGTAGTACACTCCGATATGCATCCCACTACATTGTACAAAGACTCAGAACTACGATGTGATCCCCAACACGGACAGTAAATATTGCTTCTCCTCATTGGTCACACCCTGTATTACTTACCCCACCATAGAAACTAAGGACTGCCAAAGCTGACAACAAAACTTTGTCCCTTCCGGTCCTGTGACTCCCTGTAGTGCTCACTGGTAACAATTATGTGCCCTACTTCCGACACCCGTACCTAATACCGCTATTTTCACATCCCATAGTAAACACCCTTGCACACCGCCCCTGCTACCGAGACAAGGTAAATATTGCACCCCCAATCTCCTGATATACCCTGTAGTATACAGACACACTCTGATACATGTCCTGAAAAAAAAACAAGAGTATCGCGGGGCGGAACAAAATACGTATAGTGTTATATTCTTTCTTACATTGAAATAAGATCTGCATCATTCTAAGAGTGGTTAGCTGATATGCTAGTAAAAAATGTAGGAGAAAATCTTCGGACAAAAAATCAAATACTGAAATGAGCAAAAGGCAATAAATTTTGCAAAAATCGTCATATCAAGATTCTTTTCATGGAGACACAACTTCATATCATGATTATAATGTATACCAAGTTTCAAAGAGAACGGCCGAAAAATGAAGGAGGAGATCTCCGGACAAAATTCAAATACCGAAATAAACAAAGGGCAATAGCTTTTGGAAAAATTGTCGAATCAAAATTCTTTTATGGGAGACACAACTTCATATCATGATTATAATGTATACCAAGTTTCAAAGAGATCGGTCGAGAAATGTAGGAGGAGATCACCGGACAAAATTCAAATACTGAAATGAACAAAGGGCAATAACTTTTGGAAAAATTGTCGGATCCAAATTCTTTTAAGGGAGACACAACTTCATATCATGATTATAATGTATACCAAGTTTCAAATAGATCGGTCGAAAAATGTAGGAGGAGATTGCCGGACAAAGTTTACGCTGGACAGACGGACGGACGGACAGACAACACCATACCATAATACTACTGTCAAATTTGACGGTCGTATAAAAACAAAACCGGGTCTTTATATTTTTACATACCCATACCTAGTTCCTGTACTGTCACACCCTAGGGTAATACCCTGTACTGCATTCTCCACTAAAATACACTATGGTACTACCCATTTTGAAACATGACATGTCCAGTGTGATCTTGTTTATCTGGACAATCCTTATGTTATCATCAGGCAAAAGTGCACCTTTAACTTTCAACTTATCCTTCTTAATACATGACCAACCATCATTCCAGCATACACACAACTGTCCCAGCCTCTGCAGTATCTCGTGTCCTTACAGGAAATGGTTGACCCTGGGAGGTATACGCTCCACAGGCTTGTCCTCCTGTCTGGGTGTGGCCGACATGGTGGTTGGGATCATGAAGAACAAGTTCTGTCTGGAGCCTTCTAACAGTCCTAGCATGCACATCCCAAAAATAGACATCAGCTTCACGAACCATCGTACGGCAATGCTTGGATCGGAGGAGTACACGGTCACACACCCACTTACCTACACTGCCAAGTTTGACAGGAAAGTCTGGGCCGGTTTGTGAAAGGGATAATTTCATCATCACTAAGATTAAATGCATTGGTTTTTATATTTATATTCATATAGAATTGTCGGTATAACCCAATCACAAAGCAATGACAAACACAGCACCATAAATGTCATTGTCCGACTTGTCATCAGTATGAGGTCACAATGGCAGCACTGAATACCACTGGATCAGGATCAGATGTGGCTGACAAGACTTACAATTCACTATTCCAACAAATATTATTGCAAGTCAAAATGTAAATACAAGTAATAATGGTATTGATCTTCTTCCTGGTGGCAATTTAGGGCCAACAAACAAAAAGATAGCTAATAAAGCAGCTAACTTCATTGTAACAAGAGGCCCAGAGGGCCTGTATCGCTCAGCTGGATATCTAAGCAATCATGGCAAAATATTCCCCAAATGAGATCCAAGGGCAAGGGAATATGCCAGACCCCAAGGCCAATCCTTGAATTGTAGCATATCTGTATTAAATTTTTCATGCCCAGCAATTTAATGCATGGTTATGGGGTGGGGATCTCAACTGTTTCCAAGCTGCGACTCAGAAACTAGGTCCCCAGGGTTGTGGCCAGACTCCAGGATCAATTCTTATATCATAACTGCATTCGTCTCTTTTTGCCCAGCATTTGTATTTATAGTTTTGGGGTGGGGATCTCGACCGTTTCAAAGTTATGACCATGAGACTATGTCTCATAGAGTGGGGCCAGACCCTAGGGCCGTCCTGGAAGCAAATAAACATTCTTCCCTTTATACTCAGCAATTGTATATATGGTTATACGGTGGGGATCTCAACCATTTCCAAGTAATAAACTTTTTTTGGCCCCACCCCTTAGTACGGGGGGGTCAGTCCCACCATTTGTACAATTTTGAATCTGCACTACCTAGGGATGCTTTCAGTCAAATAAGGTTGATATTCATCTTTTAGTTCCAAAGAAGAAGTTGCTTAAAGCAATATAGCCAAATTGACCCCTTTTGGCCCCGCCCCTCAGCCAAACCATTTGTACAATTTTGAATCCCCATCACCTAAGGATGCTTCCAGTCAAATTTAGTTGAATTACAATCAGTGGTTAAGAAGAAGAAGGCGTTTTAAAGAAATTGTTGACGTACGGACGACAGACGCCACAGTATGGCATAAGCTCACCTTGGTCCTTCGGACCCGGTGAGCTAATAAGTACATGAATGCTTTATGTAAAATGTAATTTTCTTCCAAGGATTATTCCAGATATTAATGTATAGTGGGATATATGCAGTTGGCATTCATATTGTTAATAATTGTCAAATTAAAGTAATTCAATCCTTTTTCTTTAAAACCATATGCTTTTGACAGTTCTGATCATTCAGGGATGTAATGTCATGTAAACAGTTTTAGATTTCATATAAATGTACATATTTCTCATTCATGTTAATGTTTCTGAATCATATTCATTATTTGTCATCTACATGTATTAATCAAGTTTAAGCAAAGAATTTAGTATCGGGATACTTGTATCACAAACTCTACATAAAACCTGATATGTTCATTTTTGTAATTAGTTTGTTGCGTTTCCTCCTGCAGACATTTCTTTTACTTTATAATAGTCATTGCAATAAAGGTACGTAAAAAAAAAGGCTACACTAATTTTGTTTGTTCTGTTTTATTCATAATCTGACATGATATTGAAGTGAATTATCATAATAATGTACAATGAGTTAGCTGTATATATAATGCATCAGGTAATGATCTAAGGAATGATTGATGGACTTCATATATTAAAATATAAAGATGAAGACTACTTTCATACCGGTGTTGTACTTTCAACACCTGGGGACCTCTGTACCTCATCGTTAAAAGCTGCCATCACAGACCCAAGAAACACCTCATTATTTAACAGGGAACATATCTAACATAGTGAAACTTAACTTTTTACTTCTATTTCTGAATTAAAAATACTCAATCAAAAATCTTGCACCATGAGAAAAAAATATATATACATGAAATTGATCCAAACAGGACCAAGAAAGCAGAATTTTATACTTCACATTGTCCATATTTTTGATCCGACAACCAAAATAAATATTTTCTGCCAATTTTAATACCTCAAAAGCTTAATTTCTAACTTCAGCACCAGAAATTTGATGAAACCAATTAAATATGATATTGTCTTTATATTCTGCATAGATTCTATCTTTTTTCTCTACGCCTGAAAAAATGTGTATATCGGTAAACTAAAGAGTTTGTTAACCTTCTGTCTGAGAGATACATGGGACTAATAACTGTTTATGGCTTGCACAATATTCAAATTCCATGTTTATGAATTTCGAAGCTACATTATTTAACACTACACAGTAAACATCGGAACATATACTGGTAGATAAATATAATCCCCAAAAAAATGTGAACTTCATTCGTCATACAAACATAAGGAAAGGGTGGATTTCCCTTAGACGTCTTGTCCTTTTATCACCCCTTATACCAGTAATGCTATGCTAAAATCTATCCCAAGTTAACACACAAACAGTATAGACAATCACTGCCCTGATGAGTCATGTTGAACTGATCCCCTCCTCAGGGCTGGGTTTCTGAACAGTCCTTTTACCGGGTTGTATGACATATAGACACCACATATCTGCTGCCGTGCCTTTTCCGATCCGTGAACTGTTTATCAACCTCTCCAGAGTCACTGAGGCGTGATTGTTCAGTGTCTGATAGCAATGTGCAAAGGTACTGTCTCATCTTATACACATTGTTAACACACAATTTAAAAGTTACGAAACTATTACACAAGTCCTGGAAAAGATCACCATCACCGCCTCCTCCGGTTGTCTCTGCGACTTCTGTAAAGAGAGAAAATCAATTTCAAAATATAGGTCACTGGTCACTTGTAAGAATCCATTAGGGCTTTCACTGATCTGTATATTAATTGGCAAGTGGGGCAGGGAAGCACTTACACTGGATAACAAATACCCCCTTCCCCCAACAACAATAACAATATATAGCCTGTATGATCTATATCATATCGTCTGTGGTTATCCACCAATATAACCTTCATGCTGGAGCTTGTAGATTACACCTGAATTAAACTTGACTACAGATTATAAACCAATGAATAAGTCATTGGATATCCTCAGTACCTAAACTCCAATAGCCTAGACAAATGATTCTCATGTTCACAAGAAGTTCACATTGGCCTCATTTGTAGATTTTATCCAGTGTTTCAGTGTTTTCTCAACTACCAATGTCCCCAATTTTATTTTCCAAACCTGCTGAAAACACTGGTGTTTGAATGTCGAAAACAACATGGAAACTAATATCATTTATGTCCACTGCCTATTCAATGGGGTTCCACACTATAAATAGAAACAGACAGTCACTTTAATATGGAAAACTGCAAGTTAGGGTTATTCATTAAAAATCTCAACTTTACAAGTTTCAGGAGTACTAGCAAATTACAATTTGCACACAATCCAATTAAGGCCAACTAAAGCCAGCATGAAGCTGGACGGTATGTTTTAAGATTACTTACTTGCTCTTGCGTGGCCCTCTCACAAAACACCAATCCACATTGATTTTCTGACCCAGGAGGTCCGACCCATTAAGTGTATCCATAGCCCCCTGGGCCTCTTTGAATGTTTCATATTCTATCAGAGCATAACCCTACAATAAATTGGAAAGGTCAAGGTCAATTTCTGTTTATTAAAAAAGTGCTTTTTAGTTCAAAACTTTTATCTTGGTAATTACTTAGATTACCATTGAAGAAATCACTGTCTTGTAGACAAGAAAACTATGGCCAATTCATTGAAACAATTAAAATGAAGATTCTATCTAATAAAATATCCCGACACTTTTCATAATGTTCATCCAACTCTGATGAATGCAAGTGAATCTATGGTTCATACAGATCCAATCAAGTGTTTTATTTTGATGTATATTTTTTATTACTTTCCCAGCACTTAAGATTTTTCTTCAGAAAAGTTTCAGCACTTTCAGCCGATGCTTGAGAGTATGGTCTCCTTAAAACTAGTTTGATTCTTTAGCTTTAAAAGACTTGTCTATTTGACATATTTTGACTTCTGAAATTAAGAGAAAATTCTATTTGACTTGTAAAATTGCTAAATGTCAATGGTAAACCACTAGTTTTACACTATCCTATCCATTATACAAAGCTTCACTGCCATGTCCCACAGTTGAAGCTGTCCACACAAGTTGGTTTAAGTCTGCCAAGTACTTCACAAAAGTCAAAAACATGAAAATCTAATTCATCAGCTCACCAAGCACCTATATATGCCAGGTTATTTTATGAACTAGTGAGACATACCTTAAGGAATCCTGTTCGTCTGTCAAGGTTGATATGGAGATTTTTTATCTGGCCGTAGTCAGCAAATTTGTCATGAAGATCATCTTCTTGTGCTTCCTCGTGGACACCAGTCACAAATAAGATCCACCCTTCCACAGCTGTGTATAGGAGAAATGTATTCAGAGTATTTCACAAGAATAACCTCAATTAATAAATAATTCAAATGCTTCACATGCAAATCTGCATGTGATGTACTTTTACCGTTACAAAAAAATCAAACATGGTTAAGGAGGAGATGTGCTTACAAGATTCATAGAGACAAGGTGGTTCCTTTATAACCCCACAAACCTTGTTTCTGGGGGGTTATACTATTAAAGAGAAATAACGGAAAAGATAAATGCTCCCAAATATTACAGTGGATGCAATAGAGTAAAAATGCTCCCAAATTTTGCAGTGAGAGCAGCATATTGGTCGCTTCGTTGTCCCCCAAAAAGGGCATTCATAAGGTAAAACCACAATTGTTTTTTGATAGCGATTCAGTCCTAGGCATCATTTTTAAATTGTTGTTAAGAGATAAAACTGATTTTCAAACATTGGACAGTCCCATAGGAAAAGCATGAGCCCAAGATTTAAATATCATTATATGTGTCCCCAATAAGGCACAGGGCTCACCCTGGACCTAAAAAATCAGTAGCCAAAAAAGTAGCCATGTTTGAATTTCAGTAGCCAATTCTTTTTTTTAAACATTGGCCATACTTTCTCGGCCTCCAACAGTTCGGATAGGCCCTCCATTAAAATCATTAAATATTTAAGTGCAATACTATTCAACATGATGTTAAATTAAAGAGTACTCTGTAAAATTAAAATTTTGTTATACATCATATTTATAATTTAATCCATAATGTCATCTTTTTTTAATTAATACTTTTAGATTATATGGCTGTAATTTTAAGAAAAAATGACTTACATTAAAATGCAGAAAATTTCCACTAGAACTTTATTTTATTTTATTTTCAAACGATAGAAAAATCAGACTTTTTCTCATTTTCTTGACACGGAAATTGTGTAAAAATCAGGTTGAAAATTTCAAATTTTAAGATATTGTTTGCCTTAATGCCGTGCCTTCAATAAAAAAAATAAAACTAATAAAATCCAAATCAAAAGTAGCCTCAGTGATGCAATATTGAAAATTATTTTTCCTGTGTTTACATTCACCGTAATTCATGTTTTATGTAAATAAAAATATATATATATTAAAAAAGATCACACATTTCAAATGTAAATGGCAGTAGAACACATTTGAAAGGAAAAGTATGAATTTATAACGGTACTGACCAACCCTTCGAAATAAATCGGGAGCACATCACGTCGCGCAACTTGGCCATTCCCGTGCTCGTGTTGTCGATTGGCACCTAATGAAGTCATTCTGAATGGTTTGCTGTTCTAAAAACTGCATAACTGCGGTGCTAAATAACTTTTCTCAATCACTTCAATTCTAAAATGTCTAACTACGAAAGTACACAGATACGATATAGGCCTATTGTTTTAAATGATCTGAAAGGCCGAAAATCGGCACTTCGACATGGTATTCAATGCGATACTTAACTTACACTTTCTAATCAAGCATTTCGGACGTATTTATGCTTGCTACGGTACTGGAAAAGGTAAATGAATACCATGCACACTTATTTAAATATACTGAACCAATAAATTTGTTGGATGCGGTGTTTGAACGAGTTTATCAGATCGGCTTACGGCGTCGTCAATGTATGTGTGCGTGACCACTTATGTGTAACTCGCTTATCAGACTGTTTTCTCACCGTCAATGGGTCATCCAATTAACTTCACCCCACTGTCCATTATTGTACAAGAATTATAACACCTTTTGCCATCTGAAGCTTGATAATTGACTTTACAACTTAGACAAAAGCATTAATTAACTCGCAATCGTACAGCGCGCGATGATCTGTGACGGCCCTGATTATGTTTACGCAATCAGTGTCAGCCACAATACACACGTGAGCTCGAGAAGACGGATCGTTTACTGGGACAAAGATACAGAGATTCCCCTTTTTTAAAAACTTAGTAGCCAGTTTTTAGTAGCCAATAAAAAATAAAAGTAGCCAATAGCCCTGAGACAACGTATTCTTACAGCTACATCTGATATTATCGGTAACTCATTTACCCCTGAAATTTTGCAATGAACTATTCCAACCTTTGAATTGAAAGTGTTAAAATGTCTCTTCAGGGGTGAATTGAGTTAACTTGACTGATGTGTACTTACACCTCTGAGGACCTGGTCCACCATCTTCATCCACATCCATTGCCTCAAAATCCTCAACCCCACTTCTTGTTGGGCCATCTGAAAATTTATCACAGACTATTCACATTCTAAACAATAAATCAGATTCTTCCATACATGTATATCTTATTCAACATATACATATGTCTGGTTAAGTTTTATAGAGTTGAGCCTCCTATTAACAGCCACTGCTATCAATGACTCCAGCAGATTTACTTTGGTCACTTGTGTGTTCCCAAGTAGAGGACACAAAAGAAAATCTCCAATTCTGTAGGAGGGGGTCAACCTCGATATCCAGGGGTTACGCTCACTTCTGTAGGGGGGTCAACCTCGATATCCAGGGGTTACGCTCAATTCTGTAGGGGGGGGGTTAACCTCGATATCCAGGGGTTACGCTCACTTCTGTAGGGGGGTCAACCTCGATATCCAGGGGTTACGCTCACTTTTGCTCTCCACACCCCTGTAATATGTCATAGCAAAATTAAAGGCTGGTGTGCGCCACCTTGTTGATGATACAGGTAGACTAGTTCAATCCTTTGATGTACATCAAAAGAATCTCGCAGTCACAGTAAAAATTGACAGGCTTTGAAGTCGGATGTCTCTCCTTTGTAATCTTCAAAGGACATTTATCAGCCTAGCAATTGGTCAGTTTTTTTAACCCGAGACCAATCAAATAGCTATCTTCGTGCCTTCAATTTTGCTATGACATATTCCAGGGGTGTAGAGAGCGAACGTGAGCGTAACCCCTGGTTATCGAGGATGGTAGGGGGTGTTCACATTAGTTACATCCAACAGTATGCATGGGTAGCAGCAGATACTTATAAAAATCCCAGCTTTATCAGGAGATGTGAAACATCTTTGTATAGTGAAATGGAATGGTTATTGACCATGGATATTAAAACAAACAAGTATAATACTGGTATGTCAGCTAAAGCTATGACTCACAAATGGTTTGTTTACATGTATCAATGTGATTACACATTTAAAGATGTACAAAAGTACAGATGTTATGTATATACCTGCACCAAATCCTCTTCCTTTCCGTTTCTTGGCTTTTTCTTTTAGCTTCTGTAATCCCTCTAAAAGCAAAAAAAAAATATAATAGATTAAAAGTTAAATATGGAAAATGGTTTCAACGAAGCTACTGTATTTTTGTTCTATGAAACTGAAATTAATATGAAACCAAACACTATCTTGTTATTAATCTGTAAAAATCGGCAATGTTCCTGGTCTTAAATTTTAAAGTGGTGTACGAGTTTGAAATATACATTATTGACAATTTCTCAATTATCAGAAATTGATGATTTTATTGAATTTAATTCTTAAAATTTAAAACACAATTGAAGAAATGTTCTGCCTAAATACATTGCAAGTCCTTAATTAGGCATGTGCACTACAGGGGAGAGCACAGGTAAATATCCTTGTCCCCAAAATGGAAGGCGGTCCTAAGCTTGAAGCCCTTCATGATCAATGTTCACTGCTTCAGGTAATGTACATACAACCTTCTCAGGTACACTGTTCCAGTCAATCACAGTTTTGGGGAAGAAGAGGTTTTAAAACTGTCTGATCAAGTTTTAATGGTTTGGGAACTTTTAGGTGTTGTTGATTTATTGTTTTTTATTGGGATACCGTCTGTGAAATGTTGGCTCTACTTATTCTCACACCTCAGACTTGGATTTCCCACGTGATACCTGTGGTAGTGGGTTTTTTTTCTATCTCTGACAATTTGTCTGACATCTTTTTGTGACATTTTGCAGAATTTTCACACAGCAATGTATTCAATCGTCTGATAACAGTTAAAAAATGACAATACTCATTATAAACATTATGTTTGTTGTTAGATTTTTATGTTGTAGAAAAACATACCAGGTAATCTACACTGGGAGATAGGTTGTCTTCTTTGCAAAGACAGACTATGTTTTTTACGTGGAAACATTCAAACGTAACTGTAGTAGTAAATAGGCCATATTTATTTAGGCTCAGGCTTTAGTGAAATCAAATAGTTTTTCGAAAAAAAAATCAATTACCTGTAACTGAAGGAGATCAAGTAATCTCAGTCTAGGTTTACTCAGTTTTTCAAAATACTGTAATGTGTCAGCCCCGTACAAATGGGTGTCTTGGCCCTGCAGACGATTTGTTTACATATCGCTGGGCGCCTGTGTGATGGGTTTACACTACATAAATAACACCAATGTCCATTTTATAGTCCAAAATGTGTTTGTACATAAGTTTTAAATGGTGATTATTCAAATTACAACTACAGAACATTGTAGAAATGATTTATAACTTCCCTGCTAATTTCGTGTTAAATCAACCTCTCGTTAGCATCTCAAACACCTCTCAGGACCGCCATTTTGAAACCGAACTGTGCGAGATGCTCGAAACTACTTGATTCTTTAACTTCCTAGGTTTGTAAGCCACGGTAGATTGATGGACATTGAGTCATTATTATGTTTAAAAGAGTATGCTAACCTTTTCGGACACTGTTTATGTCTTTTAATGATGTCTTAGATGTTTAGTCAGTCGGAGAGGCCTCTCGGACCTCTCTCAAGCGTTTCGATAACTCTTACCGGCGTCTGACGTCACTACTGCAGGAAATTCCCTAAACTTAGTATATTTTTATTCCATAAACTTAGCGGCATTAAATAGTAGTTTTACATTTATTTTTGTACTTTGTACCATTATTTTAATGTAAAGCACTTATTGTTTGAGCGGATATTATGAGAGGCCGTGTGTGATAAGGTTTTATTACTTTTACATGCAATCCTATGAGAAAGTGTCTCCAGACCTCTCCCGTCTAATCACCAGACCTCTCCTGAGTAGTAATATTTGGAAGGTTATAAGTACAGGTCGGATCAGACCTTTTTCTAAGTTCATCACTGTCTTCGCTTGCAAACGGTCGCCTCTGAACAGGTTAGATTTAGGAATTTCTCATACTTTGGGTTTAGGCTTACTGTTTATGTTATTTATAGTTCTATTTATTGACACTGTCATCGGATACAAGGGGAAATCCAGGTAGTTGGTTATTTATAGCTGAACTGTCATATTATTACAAATTATCTGAATAGTTGAAGCTTTCTTGTATTTTTGCTGGTCTGCATATCAGATTATAATTTAGGTGACTTTGAATATTAGGCTCTGGTGATTAGTGGGACATTAGTACAGGAAATACAGTCAATTAGTGTATAATTTGGGAATAGTTGTGTACAATTTGTCAATTACATTTGTTATTGTCTGGTGCAAGGACCTGTGTTGAGGCCTTGTTTGTATTGTAATATTATACTGATCTGTACTCTGTAAAGATACCTTGTTATTTAACTTGTTCCTTTAATAAATTATATTTGTACCTGTCAATTGGACTCTTGGTTGATATTTTAGAGTTTTCGCATAGTAATTTAGACTGCTAGACTATTTCTGACCATTGTTTTCAGACCTGACATAGAGGAAATATAACATTTTCGATCGTGATAATCCAGGATCCAGAAAGCACACTATTTTGGCGAAACAAGATTCCCATACTTCTTCGACAGCAGACGGTGAGACATGGACACCGGACGCGCGCTCGTTATAATACTTATTATCAATGGGGGTTTATTTTGCACTTTAAGACAACTCAGTTGTAAGGATGTTTTAATATATGCACTAAAATGCAGAAACAATACATTACATGTTCGTCCATTGTACAGTTAAGTTTGAAATCATATCTTTGAAAAGTGTTTCATTTTGGGTACAGTACCCTCACCTTAATATATTTTATTGATCTTTACTACAAATTGGTGTCAGACTTAGTAGCAAGCAACAGGATTTAATCTGTTTCCACTCCGAGTACTTCAAACCTGTTGTACCAGCAGGAGCGGATTAAAACCTGTGACTTGCGATGATGGGTGTCTGCTGTCAGGTAATTGATGTTGCTTGGCATAGCTTCACACGCCAACAGTCGATCACACAAGTGCCTTGAACACTGTTGCATGGTGTAGTGCTTTAGGTAATCATAAAAATCCTAATGCTGACTTGGGCCTGTTGGGTTTTCTTACCTATGTATTATTGTAGAAAATTGTAAATTAATAAACGATTCTGTAGTTGAAACATGATATTTTGTATATATAATACCCAAGATTTACTGTACCGGTGACCATGAAAATGACGGGGGGGGGTTGAGATGTCACAAAGTAAACTAAATCACTACATGTGCGTGCCGTGATGTTGGTTATGGACTATTCAGGAATTTACACAAAAAAAACTCTTAACATATACACAATGCTTTGTAGGAGTATGGGAAGCAAACGGATCGTTTGGTAATTTATCCTAAACATCGTCAAACTTTCTTTCTTGTTGTTGTTGTAGGCACCGGCGAATGGTCTGTGATCGACTTAGTATCCATCTTTCTATACAATTTTCAAACTAAAATGACATCTAGCAGAATTATGTATTCTTTCTCCTTAATAATCACACATTAATATTGAATTTCTTACGATCGCCTTCCTCGTCAACCTCAAATTCATCTCCTCCTTCTTGCAAATCTAAAACATCCGCCATCTTTATTTGAGCCGCGTGTGTAACTAGTGTGGCGCCACAGGGGGAATAACTCCGTTATATTTCTTCTGTCGTCGGAAAAAAATCCCTACCTTTGATGCTGACCATTTATTTCAATCATAATTAAAAAAAAAAGACAATTCTTAACTTCTTTTTCAAACAATAGACATTCAGTCTATTGTTTGAAAAATAAGTTAAGAATTTACTATTTTACAAAGAAAACTTTGAAAATAAACACGGGTAGTGTAATGAAATTGTATGTGGCAGAAAATAGAAAGTTTATACAGTGTACTTTATCCGAGGATACGGTTTGTGATGAAAGTGTAAGGCAGTGAGTGCAGAGACGTATATATTAATATATATATGTCTCTGGGTAGTGTAATAAACGTGTATATCACGAGCAGTGTAATAATTAATCTGTATATATCAGTGTACTAAAAGTATAGAAAGTACATGTACATACATTATGTATATTTTGTAATGACAGTCTATACACGTGTATGTGGCGGTGGTGTATATGGAATATAATGGAATGCTACATGGTAGTCAGTGTAATGAACGTGTATATTGCAGTGTAATAAACATGTATATAGCAGTGTAATAATTGTGTATATAGCAGTGTATTAAAGTGATATTAATTCAGTCTAGGGTTTCGCGTTCTTGCGTTTTTGTAAGGTCATAAATATATATGAAAACGGCAGAGCAGCAGTTTTAGTGTATGCGTCAGTATAATAACGTATATAAATGGGAGTGTAATGAAAGTGTACACAGTAGTGTAATGAAAGTGTACACAGTAGTGTAATGAAAGTGTATGCGGCAGTGTAATTGAAATGTCATAAATCGTGTACACGATTATTTTAATTTGCAAAGGAAGACGAAGGGCTTTCATAGGTAACGTCTAAAATAGTTTCACACCTAGGTCCAAGAGTTATGCTGCATCGCTAAAATACATTGCCCCCATATTCCTTGGCTGTTACAGAATGGAAATCTGTGAAACTATTTTAGATTTCAGATTTCAGATTTTTATTTCTCTCAGACATACAAAGTATGTAACAATAGGTCAATATGTATCATATTCATATAGACATGGCGGATAACAAAGCCATAAAGGCTACAAACTAATTACATACATTCAATAGCTTTTCAAGTTTTTCTAGAAATTTGCAAACATTTTTTAAAACTTTTACATTGTATATAGTAAATAGTCCACGCATTTTAATAAGGCTAGGTAAAGTATAGTAGTAATTTGGAATAAATAGTTGTCTTATTTGTTTAACAGATACATGTTCGCACTTAAATAGATAATGATATTCATCACCAATTTCATTAAAACAAAGATTACAAGTTCTGTTTTTTTGGGGTATTCCAATCCATCTTCCAGTTTCTATAGGTAAGTGCATATTTGAAGTTCTAAACTTAACAACAATTTGGCTTTCTTTTGGCTAGTTTCACAAAGAATTTTTTAAGTTCAAAATTTGTTTTAAAATTGGAATAGGTAGATCCTCCTGAAGAGCTCTCGATATCGTTAAACCATTTTTGGATAAACTGATCTTGTAATCTTTGTTTCACAACAAGTTTCAAATAATCTGTATTGAACGTACATGCTTTCTGATATACCCAGATAAAATTTAAACCTGTTTCTATACATATATCATGAACATTCTTTAACCATTTGAACTCCATGATTCCATTTGTTTGTAAGTTAAATATTAAGTTATACACAGTGCTTGACAGACTATTGCTAGTTATCAAAAAACATAATTATACCCAAAACATAATTACTCTGGTTTTAACTTCAACATATAAAGGGAATCTCCCGATCTCTCCATAAACCATGTAGTTTGGCGTGCTTCTTTTAATACCCAATATACGCTTGCAGAATTGTAAATGTAGTTTTTCCAATAGCGCTTAAATTTTCAAAACTTCAAGAACCTCTATCTCTTCATTACATATTGTAAAATGAAACTGTGTTCGACATTTTCTCTTAGAAAATATAACAATTTTGGTTTTGTTGATATATACATCAAGCTTCCAGCTGTTACAATATAATTCAAAAGTATTAAGAGCTGATTGGAGTCCTTCCGCCGATTCAGACATGATAACAGTATCATCTGCATAGAGAATTATAAACAGTTTAATGTATATTCCAATATTTTCACTTAAAGTTTCTGTTGTTTGTGAACAATTAACGCTGTTTTCTTCAAGAAAATCTCCTAGATCATTAAGATAAATGGCAAATAAAAATGGCGATAAATTTTCTCTTGTTTTACCCCGACGTTACAGTTGAACATTTCAGATATATCATTTCCATTTTTAACACAGGATTTAGTTTTTGCATATAAATTAAAAATGACTTTGAACATTTTCCCAGTTATTTACTTTTTTGAACTTTTTTCCATAGCCCAAGTCTCCAAACCGAATCAAATGCCTTTTTGAAATCTATATAGGAACAGAACAACTTTTTTCCGAGTGAAAAATAAATTGAGGTTAAGGTATGTAGAATGAAAATATTGTCCGTGGTGGAGTGATTTTTCCTGAATCCAGCCTGAGCCCAAGATGATAAGACGTTACCTATGACACCAGAGATAAGCTGGGCTGTGGCTGAATGAGTGACCGCCAGCTTACAGATTCTTTTTATCTCTGGTGTCACCGGAGACAAATATATTATAATACATATTGGAATATCTATATGTCTCTGTTGTCATTGATGGGTCTTAAATGACGAAACGGGGACGCAACTGTATTGAGTGTAATCAACATTTACTTTGTCTGGTTTTCTGAATCGACGTGTAGTAAATAGTTTATTAGGTCATTTTGTTTGTGCTTTCTTTATGGGTATTTGTATGGATTTTCTTTCAGCATTGTTGACGTGATGTTAATGTACATAAACGATGAATAACGACCATTTTCTTTAATCTTAATAAAATGAATCATTGGTTTGGAAATCATCTGTGTTTTATTTATGTTTATATTCATGGCGCCACATTTGCCGTCTGTTTCAATCATAACTTGGCCGAGAGTGTTGCATTCCATTGCGTCAGTCTTGAGGTAACTGGTCCGTGCTATTACTATTCAGTATTATTGATATTAATACATTTATAATATTTTGTATGATGTTTTCGGCCATCAGATCTATGACATCCAGCCTATTAAAACCTTGCGATTCATTTACTTTGGTTGAGGCACTTACTTAGATAGCAATCGTGGTTGAGGTCGCCAAAAAGTATACTGTACGTATATCTCCACTTATCGACATATTCGCTAACTTGTAGGTAATCTCTAAATAAAGACGTGGGACATTTCGTGTCGCTTCAATTCATACTGTCTATAGTACGCCTGTACTATTTCATACATTCAAAAGGCACTATAAGATATACACTAAACTGACTTATAATAGGTGTATACGAAGACATCACTAAGGTACACCCTTAAATATGAAGACTTCACTACGATAGATTAGGAGATACACTCCTCTTCGACAATAATAACAATAAAAGTACGAACATGTCATAGCGACATATATACAATAACTAAGTGGGGTGCTTACAGTACAGTAACAGTTTGATTGACGTAAGCAGGGTTTTTTAATCATAAATTACCTCTCCTCAAGTCCTAACCTGTGTGCGATTACGTAGAACGGATAGCGGTAAATTCACCTTCTTCAAACGTGTGGCGTATTTAAAAAAAACATTTTCGTATTGAATAACACATTGCAGCATACCATACAAATGTTAAAGCACCAAATAAACTAGAACGTTAAGAGTGAGCGGTTAAAAATATTTATAGTTATTTCTCTTACGAGTATTCCACAGACACCGGACATAACTTACCAGTATACCACAGGTACCAGACATAACTTACCAGTATACAACAGGCACCAGACATAATTTATCAGTATACTACAGGCACCAGACATAACTTACCAGTATATCACAGGCACCAAACATAACTTACCAGTATACAACAGGCACCAGACATAATTTACCAGTATACTACAGGCACCAGACATAATTTATCAGTATACTACAGGCACCAGACATAACTTACCAGTATACCACATACACCAGACATAACTTACCAGTATACCTGAGGCACCAGACATAACTTACCAGTATATCACAGGCACCAAACATAACTTCCCAGTATACAACAGGCACCAGACATAACTTACCAGTATACTACAGGCACCAGACATAACTTACCAGTATACAGCAGGCACCAGACATAATTTACCAGTATACTACAGGCACCAGACATAATTTATCTGTATACTACAGGCACCAGACATAACTTACCAGTATACCACAAGCGCCAGACATAATTTCCCAGTACACCACAGGCACCAGACATAACTTACCAGTATAATACAGACACCAGACATAACTTACCAGTATACCTAAGGCACCAGACATAACTTACCAGTATACCTGAGGCACCAGACATAACTTACCAGTATATCACAGGCACCAAACAAAACTTACCAGTATACAACAGGCACCAGACATAACTTACCAGTATATCACAGGCACCAAACAAAACTTACCAGTATACAACAGGCACCAGACATAATTTACCAGTATACCACAGGCACCAGACATAATTTACCAGTTTACCACAGACACCAGACATAACTTACCAGTATACAACAGGCACCAAACATAACTTACCAGTATACCACAGGCACCAGACATAATTTACCAGTATACCACAGGCACCAGACATAACTTACCAGTATACCACAGACACCAGACATAACTTACCAGTATACTACAGGCACCAGACATAATTTATCAGTATACTACAGGCACCAGACATAACTTACCAGTATACTACAGGTTATGTGCAGATCCAGGGAAGGGAGCTTCTTTTAGGCAGGCGCCTCCACCATTCTTACTGAAATAAACAGTAGTTCTATAGTTCTGAGGTAGACCTGTCCCCTACTCCCTTCACAACAATTGTGAGGGAAGAATGGCAGATCTAACACTTTTATTTTATTTTTATTTCCACACATTTTCAATGGATGGAGATGTTAACAGTAAACGTCATCAACTTAGCGCCCTCTCCCAAAATCGTATGATTCGCCACTCAATGTATTTGGGAATTCCCGGAAAACTTTGAAGATTTACGATTGACCCCAAGTTCAACTCATTATTCATCTTCCTTTCCGAATATCGACTTTCTGAGGCACCTAATTCGGATCCGATGTTTCTAGGATAACGGATCAATAAATGGATCTCTGTTTGTCGTGACAATATCTCTCATTTAATTTCCCTTTTTTTTCAATTAAAAAAAATCTGTCATTTCTTTCTTATAATGAAAATTTCAATTTTAATTGAAAATTACCACGCCCCTCTCTTCCAGATGTCAGTATATTATAAGGAGGTATATAATTAGTGTAACTTTGATTACATCGAGTGAACGTCATCCTTTGAAATATTATATTATAATTATTATACCGAGGGAAATTGCGACAATTATTCAAAATTCATCATAACAATTTAATCGGATTAAAGTACATATTAGAATGCAGACATGCAGAAAATGCTAGACATTTTATTATTCTTAATTGCGCGGTGGCCAAGTCTGGCATTCTGCTACCACCAGCCCTCCACCATTGGGTTGCGGGTTCGAGACCTACGTTGGGCAGTCGCCAGGTACTGGCCGTAGGTCAGTGGTTTTCTCTCCGGGAACTCTGGTTTTCCTTCACCACCAAAACCTGGCACGTCCTTAAATGACCAAAACTGTTAATAGGACGTAAAACACAAACAAACCAAACTTAATTCTGCTGTCAATTGGGATGTTGTTCAGGATATAATGGTGGAACAGAACAAGGCAATCACATGTAATGCTAATCCGAACCCTAAATTTTTACTTTGGAGGATCCTCAGAGTTTGTATATTTATAAGGTTTTCTAACTCAAATAGAATTCATAATTGAATTATTTTACTAAACGTAATTAACATACCTCACGTTACGCATTGTCGTGTGTCTGAGAGTTAAATGAAAACTAAATCTGAAATCTATATTGGTATAATTTCAGCTACTGTATATTATTTACAAATCGTTTGTTCCTTACGTATTTTTATTTGACAAAACAAAAGTGAACATTTTACAGAGGTTGTAACAATTTATGAGATGTCCTTTTCCAAATAACAAAATTCTGATGGAAGTTAATGTACAACAGATAAAAGTGGTCATGTCATAATTATTTTGATTTAGTAGATCACAGCAAAATAAACCCAGTATTAAAATGGTTTGTTGAAAACATTTGTAGGCGGATGGCTTCAGAAAAATTATACTTTGAATTAACTGCAAATTTAAAATACCTATTACAACAATATTAATGCATTAAAGAACAATGTTAATGTAGAAATTATTTTTATTTATTGTGAAGAAATTTTTATTAAGTTATTTTTAAATGATGAAATCAACCTTACCGGATCTTACCACGGACTTAGATAACTAATATAATTCCGTGATCTAACCAACTGCGCGTGTACGTCATCCTTCGCCTAGTAACTCTGAATGTCCTTTCCTGGTGCCCGCCAGGAAAGATCCGAGTTTCTCTGTAAATATTTAACTTTGTCTCACCATAATTAGGTTGAATTCTTAGAGATCATCTATCTCATCACGTTTGTAAACAGGACTGACTGTATATATATATATACATTACTGAGCTTATGCAAGGCCGACTAGTATTCCTGTATCATACATTCCTGGAATGTCCTTTAATTTCCGCGAGTCCGGTCGTTAATTCAAGCTCATGTTCACATATTCTATATATTTTATTTTGTGCAAAAAAAGATGTTTCCAACCGATACTCTGGTTTCAATATATGTGTACATTTATATAGTGCATGTATAATAAAATCGAAATGTGTTTTATCAAAAAGTACAATTAAACAGGATGAAAGTGAATAAACACATGTGCAATATTTTTCATGGTTTTGCATTGCTCTGATTTGAAACAATGTACGGCTTAAATTGTATAAAAATGTTGATAATTAACGTTACAAAATCGACCGTTACTTGATGCAATTTGATACTTTGTAACACATTTTTCCCACCAGTTTTAATTGACAGGATTTCCATATATAGATGTGGATATGATTTAAGCAATTTTATTGTTGATAGTCAATTTCATTTCTATAAAGCCGAGTAATTGCATGTCTCACGCTACGCTGACCAACAATCTAGAAGCCACCTTATAGGCACCTGTCTTTATATGCGGACGAGCAAGTGTACACAAGCTCCTCTCCGGGCTACACAATGCTAATTGTTTACAAATAGCGTACGTCACAGCGGTTAACCTGTTGTACACCAGTGGCTAGGGTTTTACAATTTGATCCCTTATGACAATATATTTGGTTTACAGTATACGAAATATATACGGCCACATTGTTGGAACGTTGCCTAGATACATGACGCTAGAGTAGGGCGATTTACTACCGGGGTAGATCAACTGTGACTGGGCGACCAATCAGAAAGCGCGTATCAAAGCTCCATTTTCGTGAACTGAACGGGGGCACGTTGGATATAACAGCAGAAAGCTTCATTGATATTACCCCCAGAAAACTGTCCTCAGGAAGTTTCGACATTACATTTCGTACAGGAGGAGGACTAGAGATACTTGAGATTCATTCCGGGGGACAATCATACACTATGTGAAAGGACGCAAGCTTCCGTGATTCCCAAGCGCTGGCCCGCTTGTAGTTAGTGTCGAGGCCCCATAGCTCTCTATGTGAGGTTGTAGAAAAAGTGCCTTATGAAAAGAAAGTTTCGAAATATGAAGGAAAAGTACAAAATTCCAAACATTTTAATATCAACATTATGTATTCTATGGCTGGCCATAGGTGAGTTTTAGAAAGTCATTCAAGTAAGCTTTGATGTTGTCAAGTTGTACATGCTGTGAATCTGGTGCAGCTGTGATGGAGTGAAACTTTATATTACTTTAGAGCATTATCAGAAATCACAAGTAGAATTCAAATAACACAGTTTAACATGGAAGTATTATTGTTTAACCGGTGATTTAAATAATTTTGAGTAATATTGATTAGTTAGATATTTCAGTTACAAAAATAATGTTATCCAAGTTTCAACTGTTTGTTTTATTTGTGTGATATACAACAAGTGGAAAAATTGGGAAGAAGTGATCCTCTTTCATAAAATATATAATCAAAGGTATAATATACGTAATCGACATTTTTTATGCTAAAATCTGTTCTCTTACAATTAAAAACGAAATGTAAAGATATCAACTTATCTCACATTGTTTATTTCCTTTAAAAAATGAAAAGTTGAAAACGATTTTCAAAACAAACCGATATCAGGCTTTGTTTATATTAATAGTAGTAACCCACTGATTACAATGATGGAATATTGTGTTATACAAGACTAGGATCACAGGATTAGTTGACATGACTTAAATATTTGTTTCGTCGCCTTAGAATGGAAGTCGAATATAAAAAACAACGTAAGTTGTTACAGACTCTGAAAATGTATGTCAAATTTGATAATAATTTTTTTTTTAATGTACACAATAAAAAAAAAAAAAAAATCTTAATTGTTATTGATATGACAAGGAAATAACATAGGCAGGACATGTACAGTTAACAATAAGAAAACACTAAAACTGATTAAAGGTCTATTTAATGATATTCGAAACTACCGGTAATATTAAAAAGAAATGTTTTCAATAAATTTTATTAAGTTAAAAAGAATAGTAAGGATTGCTTCGATAATGAAATACATGTGGATTTACCCCATGTTTTGCCATTGGCATATAGCTTTGTGAAATACACCATTTGGTCAGGCTATGGGTTTCCAACAGACCTCACACATTGGTACTGGGTATATCAAACTTGAACCTCAAAACACATTTAGTATTCTAATTACTGCTCAACTAGAGAAATAAAAGTTTTAAGTAAAACTAAGTGCTAGTAATTATATAAGGTTACTACACAAGTTATTGCAATGTGATAACGAAGCATAACATTGTCTGTATTTAGAAACACCTAGCTATTATGATTTTTGAAATAGGAACATATTTCAATCAGTTGTGTAGGTGGACTGTAAATGATGTGCATGCAGTTTATCATCAAGCTATCTGCTCTCCACCCCAACATCCCTGCTCTGGTATAATATTTATCGCAAGTACAAATTTGAGGTGCATGCAATTGCTTATTTACTTTGCTTACATGTCAGTTATGTGTTCTGCCTGACATTGTAAAGATTTAAGATCGTGTATTGCAGTGTCTTTTGATTTTGGTACAAGTTATAAAATATATCTGAGCAAATTTTTATTTTCGTGAATTTTATGGTAGAATTTTAAAATAAAGGGCAGACTGGGCACAGCTGAAGGCCGACATGGTTGAACACCTGGAGACTTGACTATAATGGAAACTTGAGAAAATGCTATTTGAATTTGTGCCAGCTATATTGGTAAAGTGAGCAAACTTAAAATTATATGTACATAACCTGTATATGTATATAGGACATTTATGTACACTGTACAATACTAGTTTGGGTGGTAAGCACTGCCCATTTGTCAAATAAGCTGTAACAACTTTCATAAAATTATGCTTACCTGGCTTTTTTCCAGCTTTATTAAAATGTCCTTTGATAATGCTAGCAGGATATACATATATTGTCAAAAAACAGAATCCAAATGTCACATAAAAACGCTCATAAAACATAAATTTGACATTACAAACAAAATTTGCAGAATGCTGTGGTGTGGAATTTGTGTCTTGACAATTTTTTTAAAAGGACCTTCCGGCAGTGCTAGGTGATAAAAATCTAATACTAGGGAATGTTCAGTTCATACAGGGTTCTTAAGTTCGTTTTTGTTAAAAAATTTGAAATAAAAATTTAACTCATGAGAACTCTTTATTCTAGCCTGTTTAGAGTTAAAAAATATAGGCTTATAAAGATCTGTTATATTGTGTGATTTGTCAACCAAGGTTTCTAAAATCAATGAATATACCAATATCCACTTTATAGAAGAGATATTTTAATCATATTGAATCTGTTAGCAGATAATCATAAGTTTAATAAGATTAATTAAATCAATCTCTCCTTAATGATGTAGACAGAAAAAGGTCAACAAGAGGGTCAGATTTGTTTTAAGTTTAGCATAAGATTTTAGTTTAATATATTAAACAGGTATGTAGTGACGTTGTATGATAGGTATATATTTAGTTCACAAATTATGTAATTATACTGTATAACATATATGTAATAACATTGCATAATAGGTATGTAATTACATTGTATCATATTTATGTAATTAAGTTGTATAAATGATATAAAATTATATTGTATAACAGGTTTGTAATTACATTGTATGAATGGAATGTAATTCAAAAATTACTTACGCTGTATAAAAGGTATGTAATTATAACAGGTATGTAATAGCATTGTATAACAGATATGTGATTACTTTGTATCACAGTTATGTAATTAAGTTATATAACCGGTATATATTTATGTTGTATAACGGGTATGTTATTATGTTGCAGATTCTGTGTCTGGATCATGTTCTGCGGGTCAGTTCTTTGATTCTGTAAACGGCACATGCTACGACTGCAATTCTGGATTTTAGTAAGTACATGTTCATGTAAAAACAAAAGGCTTAAAAAAAAAGCATTTCAAAAAATAAACAAAAAGTTTATGTTTCATTATTTACAGATAGCAAGGTAGTAATTTTAAATAAAACACAATCTATTAAATTTTTAATTTATTCATTTTAAAAATTTAAAAAAGAAAGAAATACTATATATCTGAACTATGTTTCCTACATTATTTTCACCCTTTGCCTAACTATTGTACCTCAATCCAAGGGTTATGGCACTGGGGATATTGACACTTTCTGTTTAAAACAAAATTTCCGAGTATTTTGGCATTTATAAATAGAAGAATAACTATAAAAACACATGTTTACCGCTCGATACACTTGATTAGAAAGGGTGGCTTTATTCAGAAAGCTAGACTTGTAGCCTGGTCGATAACCTTAGAAATCAGCAGTTTTTACATGTCGGGTGTTATCACCATAACCTGGACTGGATTACATGTGTCATTGTAACAACGGTCGTTCTAATCGTGTTACCTCTTGTTTATTTTGCCATTGCTGAGTACATGTAAAGATTGTGGAATTGTACATTTGAAACATTAACACTAAATGTGTTCAAATATTTGTTTTGTAGAGCTGGTTTCTCACTCTAGGATCTTTAATTTAGAGAGAAAAAACGAAACTTTTGTAATTTCAATCTCTCAGATATCAGATCCGAAGTCTAAACCTAGCAAGCAAGCAAAATGTAGTTCAGGACACTTTCTTTGCAAAAACTTAGTAGGTGATAGCCAGTCTTATGTGCTTGTAGCATTTACTGATCAAATCTACACACACATAACAGAACATGCCTATGAATGGCTGGGGATATTGTGATTTACATATTGATTATTATCTATGTGCTCTTGTTTTCATTGAAAACATTATAACTACATAATTGCTATATTACAACATACATATATATACAAAGATTTATATTCCCTAACAACATTTACTTTACATGGAAAGAAACTTCGTTCTCTATTTGTTTGAAAACATGCATGTTCATAACTTCTACCTCCAGCCTAGTAGCGTCTTCTTTGAAAAGATTTGATAATTGTATTGACAGTTGTATACTAATACCATAATTTACCTGTCTATAAAAACTACTATTTGCCTGTCCATAGTGACCATGTTTTAACCTTACAGGATTACCATTTAATATTTATCTGATTTTAGAATAACTGTTACCTATATATAGTGCCTGCTTTTTTTTTTACAATAAGAGTGATAACACATTGATACCTTTCCATAATAACTGGGATTTACCTGCCTACAATGTAAATTTACCTGAGTATAGTGACCACTATATACAGGAAAAATATTACTTATTACCTTCATATAGTGACCTGTATTTACCTGCCTGTAATGTAAATTTACCTGGCTATAGTGACCACTATATACAGGAAAAATATTACTTATTACCTTCATATAGTGACCAGTATTTACCTGTCTGTTATGTAAATTTATCTGGCTATAGTGACCACTATATAGAGGAATAATATTACTTATTACCTTCATATAGTGACCTGTATTTATCTGCCAACTCCTATTTCTACCTGTATATTATGACCACTAGTTACCTGTCAATAATGACTGTAAAGTCATTTTCACCTGTGTATAGTGACTGCTAGTTACCTGTCAATAACAACTGTGAACTCATATTTCTACCTACGTTTAAAGACCACTAGTTACCTGTCAATAACGACTGTTGTGTTTAATAATGACTGTAAACTCATATTTCTACCTGTGTATAACGACCACCAGTTACCTGTCAACAATGACTGTAAACTCATATTTCTACCTGTGTATAACGACCACTAGTTACCTGTCTAAATGACCAGTATTTACCTGTCTAAATGACCAGTATTTACGGAGACAGGATGAACACATACGCTGTCCTGTATTTGTTTACTGTAGTTAGGATCGGTAAGCTTGTGCCTATTTTGTTTGTGAATTCCTTGGACGATATGTTTATTGTGGGTATAACTTGATGCTGATTGGACTGTCAGAGATAATGGTTTTCTATGTATATAGATAGAACTGATGGATTTGTTGGGTGAATGATGTAGCACTAGACAAGGAATATTATACAAATCCCCCGTCACATATTGATTTCTCTCCTTAGGGTAATACCTGTTAAATACTTATTAGTTCATGCAAGACTAGCAAAATATAACTTACGTGTGACTCAGCTCAATTAATGTAATTGATATATATTTTTGTTCATATTGATTTTTTGTTTATTACGAAATCTGTTTATCAATTTTGTGTTCCATCAACTTGATCCAGGAACTGAAGTGTAGTGTGTAAGGATTAACATCAATTATTGAATGCCAATTAACTATCTTCTATCATTTTTAAGCCTGCTTGGTTTTCTGATATAATAGGATATTGGGTAAAACAGTTTTTTACAAGTCTGGTCTGTTCAGGTATATTATTTCCTAACCCATGACCAGGTGTGTGTACGGGTTTAATATAGGTAAAAACTAGGTTACACAACAGGTAAAGGTGTGTGTGTGTGTGTGTGTGTGTTACACAACAGGTAAAAAATAGTGATCACACAGAAAGGAAGTAAAATATGGGTTCTTACATAACAGGTTAAAAATAAGGTAACTTACACAACAGGAAAACAAACTAGGCTTTGCTCAGAACAGGTAAAACACCGGGTTAACATAGCAGGTAAAACAGTGTTAGGTTTGTGAAAAATAGCATTTGTTATAAACTGATATGATTCTAACATAGGTACAATGATTAATTTATAAAAAATGTTCGTAGGTATTATAATTTATTCATATGCAGGTTTTCCCATATTATTTGAAATGCTAGCAAGATATAGGATTCTTAAGACTTAATCATGCATAAAACATTGAAAAATCAATATTTCCTCTTTCACATTAGGTATTCTGTACTAAAGTTGTGAGCTTGTGTCGGACATCGTTGTGAATTGCAATTAACCGAAGTTGACGACGGAGAGTTTTCTGATCAAAGCTTCCGCTGCTATTGACATGCTGATCTCCGACACATTAGGGATTATACCGTGGTGAATTGGCACATAAATTTATGTCCGATTACTAAACCATGTCACCGAGTCAATTTAGGTGCCACATAAAGGAGTTAAATGAAGCAACACAATTGACTAAATATTTTTGGAATTTATCCATACGTTGTGGATGATGTTAAAAGGTCAGAATTGTCCAGTAGAGAAGGTGTATACCAATAAATGATCAACTGATAGCTATGAAACATTATTAGATTGTTGATATTGAGTAACTTGAAAGCCATCGCTACCACAATTCATGTAGATTTTCCAGATGAATTTACTTCAAACATTTATATATGGTTTTTAGGCCATTAATTCTCCCCAGATATCACAATATTACTTTCTCATTTTCATTAATGTTGGATTAAGATAGATATCTGGTGGTGCTATTTGAAAATTGGAAATGCTTTTGACACAACATGATGAGGTTACATTGTTGACTCTCAGAAAGCTGATAATTTGTATTATGTATATAGTAGTGTAATAGTAGGGATTAAGGAACCCTGTCCCACAACAGGCAAAACATTAGAGAGTTCCAGTGTGGTTTTCATACACTCAGTAACCTCCCCTTATTTTTGTGTTGAATATAAATATAACTGTAATAGGACTAGGCCATCAAACGACCCCTGACCAGGCCCAATGTATAGGACTAGGCCATCAAACGACCCCTGAGCAGACCCAATGTATAGGACTAGGCCATCAAACGACCCCTGACCAGGCCCAATGTATAGGACTAGGCCATCAAACGACCCCTGACCAGGCCCAATGTATAGGACTAGGCCATCAAACGACCCCTGACCAGGCCCAATGTATAGGACTAGGCCATCAAACGACCCCTGACCAGGCCCAATGTATAGGACTAGGCCATCAAACGACCCCTGACCAGGCCCAATGTATAGGACTAGGCCATCAAACGACCCCTGACCAGGCCCAATGTATAGGACTAGGCCATCAAACGACCCCTGACCAGGCCCAATGTATAGGACTAGGCCATCAAACGACCCCTGACCAGGCCCAATGTATAGGACTAGGCCATCAAACGACCCCTGACCAGGCCCAATGTATAGGACTAGGCCATCAAACGACCCCTGACCAGGCCCAATGTATAGGACTAGGCCATCAAACGACCCCTGACCAGGCCCAATGTATAGGACTAGGCCATCAAACGACCCCTGACCAGGCCCAATGTATAGGACTAGGCCATCAAACGACCCCTGACCAGGCCCAATGTATAGGACTAGGCCATCAAACGACCCCTGACCAGGCCCAATGTATAGGACTAGGCCATCAAACGACCCCTGACCAGGCCCAATGTATAGGACTAGGCCATCAAACGACCCCTGACCAGGCCCAATGTATAGGACTAGGCCATCAAACGACCCCTGACCAGGCCCAATGTATAGGACTAGGCCATCAAACGACCCCTGACCAGGCCCAATGTATAGGACTAGGCCATCAAACGACCCCTGACCAGGCCCAATGTATAGGACTAGGCCATCAAACGACCCCTGACCAGGCCCAATGTATAGGACTAGGCCATCAAACGACCCCTGACCAGGCCCAATGTATAGGACTAGGCCATCAAACGACCCCTGACCAGGCCCAATGTATAGGACTAGGCCATCAAACGACCCCTGACCAGGCCCAATGTATAGGACTAGGCCATCAAACGACCCCTGACCAGGCCCAATGTATAGGACTAGGCCATCAAACGACCCCTGACCAGGCCCAATGTATAGGACTAGGCCATCAAACGACCCCTGACCAGGCCCAATGTATAGGACTAGGCCATCAAACGACCCCTGACCAGGCCCAATGTATAGGACTCTCAAACTTTTTGCCTTCATTTTTATGCCCCGGGGTGGGGGGTGGGGGCATATAGTGTTGGCCATGTCCCTCTGTAATCAAAGTGGTTGTTACTATTTATAGAACATCAAACACTGAAAGTAATGT